TATTGGTATATCTGTTGTAGTCGGAATGTTCACATTGTTTATTGCTTCAAACGCTGTTTTGTCTGCTAGCTCATTACCAGATATTCCGACATGGGATGGGACCCACATAAATGATATAATTTTCCCAGAAAATTGGAGCTATTGCAACGCGTCCTTAATTAGGAATAGATTGATGTGTGTGGGATAAACATGTTTAATGGCCTGTAAAAAGCTTAATGAATCTGATAATATTAGTATTTGTTTTTCATTTATGGTTTTACAATGATTTAGTGCGTCAAGTATTGCTTGTAGCTCTGCAGTATAAATACTACAACCGTGAGTTTATCTAGTGGCAGAAATTAAGTTTTCTGATACAGTAGCAGCTGCTACTCCGTTACAAGTTTTGGAGGCATCAGTGAAAAACAATTTGTGAGTGGAATATTTGAGTAAATTTGTGTGATACTGAAGCCTGATCTCTGCAGAATTGTGTAAATGCTTATCATGATTAAGTAAGGAGAGGTCTACTATTGGTAAAGAAACTGTCCAGGGAGGTGTTTGGTATATTTTTATGGGTGCCAAGGTAATTTGATTGATATAATACGGTAATCTTTTAACTCGTTCGTAAAATGGTACTGTCTTGGTGGTGTAATTTGTGTATTGTTCTAGTGATTCTTCCGATACTAAACTTGCGAGAAAGGTATGATCCTTTGCGCTTAGAATTCTTGAAGCGTAGCATAGTGATAGATATTGTCTTCTGAGGTATAGTGGCATTTCTCCTGCTAGCACTTGAAGGCTTCTTATTGGAGTAGTTCTAAAGGCCCCAAAGATTAGTCTTAGAGATGTGGTTTGAATAACATCCAGTTTTGTGCATCCGTAGTCGAGTTTGCTTCTTATTATTGTCTGATATAAATTAAGAAGTATTTTAGTATCTGATCCCCATTTATGATTGGATAAAACTCTTAGTAAGTTTATTCCTTGTTGACAGGATTTGATCAAATTGTTGATATGTGAAGTCCATGTGAGTTGTAAGTCAAATATTACACCCAAAAATTTAATTTCGCGGACTTGTTTTAGAGGATGGCCATTTAGATACAAGTTTAAGTTGTATTCTGCTCTTCGTTTGTCAAACATTATTACTTTAGTCTTCTCAGTTGAAAAAGTTAAACCAGTCTCTAAAGACCACATTTCTAAGCTGTTTAATGTTCTCTGTAAAATTTGCGTAGCTAATTCTATATTTTTACTTTTAACATATATTACTAGATCATCAGCAAAAAGATTAGCTTTTACGGGAAGCTTTATGTGGTTTGTTATATTATTTATTGCGATTAAGAATAATAGTGGACTTAAGGCTGATCCTTGAGGAATTCCATTATGAAGTGATTTCGATGTTGACATGAATCCATTCGTTTTTACTTGTATGGACCTGTTTTGAAGAAAATTTTTGGTGAAAGCGAGAAAGTTACCATCTATTTTCCAGTTTTTCATAATTTTGAGGATATAATGCTTCCATGTTGTGTCGAAAGCTTTTTTAATGTCGAAAAATATTGCAATTACTTTTTGTTGATTTGTAAATGCTTTATGTATTTCGGATTCTAGTGCAACAATGTTATCAGCTGTCGATCTGTCTGAACGGTATCCGCTTTGTATTGGAGTAAAAAGTTTTTCCTTTTCCAAGTGCCATTTCAGTCTTTTACTCAATATTCTCTCCATTGCTTTGCAAATGTTACTGGTGAGAGATATTGGACGATAGGAGGATGGTAAGGTTTTTTGCTTATTCATTTTTAAAGAAGGAATGATAATTGCTTGACGCCATATTGAAGGAAACGTTTTATTTGTGTAAATATTGTTAACGATGTCAACTAAAATTTTCTTTACTGTTTCAGGTAGTTTCTCAATAAATATTGTTGGAATATCATCAGGTCCTGAAGAAGTTTTTTTAGCATTGCCTAAGCTTTCGTTTAACTCCTCTATTGTAATCGGTATATTGAGAGGGCATAAAATATCTTCTATTTTGATTTGTGATAATTCGGTTTTTTCTTTGTGTTTTAAAAATGTAGAGTTGTATTGATCATTGCTCGAATATAGTTGATAGTGATCAGCTAAGATTTCTACAATTTTTAGCTTATCTGACGTAATTAAGTTATCAGTAGCAATGGTGTCAATATGATTAATTTTGGTTGAGCCTTTTATTTTCCTTATTTTTTGCCAAATATCACTTATTGGTGTAGATGAATTTATTGATGAGACATAATTGGCCCAGCTTTCTTTTTTAGATTTTTTGATTAGAAATCTGGACCTGGCTCTTAACGCTCTAAATCTAGCTAAGTTAGTTTCGGAATTGTGTTTTTTCAATATATTAAAGGAGTGTTTTGTTTGTTTCAAGGAAGTTTCTATTTCGATATTCCACCAGGGCAGAGGTGTTTTTGTGGTAGCTTTAGTTTTTCCAATCGCTTCTCTGGCTGAATCTATTAGGATATCATTAAAATTTGATATTGTGATGTTTATATCTTCTAATATTTTGAAGTCTTTCATCCGTTCAGTTATTAAACTAGTATACTTTTCCCAATCCGCCGATTTTAACTTCCATGTTTCATATGGTTTTGTATTAATCTTTGTGTCTTTAATATGAGTAATCAAAATTGGTAGATGGTCGCTGTCAAATAAGTGTGAAAGTGTATTCCACTCAAGTAGTGGTGCTAAAGTTGAACTGCTGAGGGATAAATCGATGGTTGAAAACGTGCCATTGTATGAGTTGAAACGGGCATTCCTGTGTTTAATAGCACCATTTTAAGGTTGTTAATTATTTCTAATAGAGTTTTGCCATTTTTGTCAGTTTTCAAAGATCCCCAAGATTCGTTATGACAATTTGTGTCAGCAAGAATTAGTTTAGGAGATGGAATTTGTTCTATCACTTTTTGTAGTTCCAGGAGTATGGATTCTTCCGGATGTGGTAAATATACACTGCAAATGTTAATTTTGAAATGATGAATTATTGATACTGCAACAGCCTCCAGATTTGTATCTAACGGAATTTCTTTGGATTCGACCGTAGATTGGGTCGTAATTGGACCGTAGAATGGCTGTAAAAGCCATTCAAATTCCATTGAACTATGAATTTGGTTATTGGATAGAGTTGCTGTCGCTTTCTTCCTCAGTAATAGAAGAGTTGTCTGTTCCATGTATCTTTTTTAAGATTCTTGAAATGTTGTTTTTAAGACGTCGATCGTTTGTGTTTGTGTGTACCATTTGCAATTCAGCGCTAAGTCCTTGTAGGTCATTTGTATAATCCTTTGCTACGTTTTCAGGAAACTTTGAACCTATAGCATTTGTAATATAGTCGCATAGTTCTGTGTATCTTAGTGTGTAAGGAATAGTAGCTGAGGATAAAATGGCTTCTATAGGTTTCATTGAGGTTTCGATGTTCAAAGCTTTTTTAATCCTTTTTGGTGCAGATTTCTTTGGAGCAGGAATTATTATTTCTTGATTTTCTGACTCTATTATTTCAGGAGATGTTGACATTTGTCTTTTTATAGAAGTGTGTGATATTATGTTGGTATTATTAGATAGTGATTCAGGTAGGTTTTGTGAGTTGGAGGAGGTATTTGGTAGTGATCTGTTTGAGGAAGTAGCAGCAGGAGTACTGGATTGATGAGCAGTTGCGGTTTCTGATGTAAGGAATGTTTTATTTATTGGATAATTTTCTGTTTTAGAAATATTAACATTTATAGATTGAGATAGCTGGTCAATATTTTGTAAATTAATTGGTTCGATAGTGCAGTTTTCATCTTTGTGTCCTGTGGTATTACATTTAGAGCAATTTAGGCCATCTAAGGAAAGATAAATTCTGTAGGGGGTATTGTCATGAGATATTAGAAGTGAATTTGGGATATGATTATTAGTTGTTGGAGCAACAAATACTTGACGTCTAAAGCTTAATATATGATTGTATTCAGATTCAGGCATGCCAACTTTTAAAAATGTTATTTTAGACACTGCAATAAGCTCCAATTTTTTGAGCTCTTCTTCGATAATAGTGTTTGGAATACTGGGGCAGACATTTGATATCACTAGTCGGCTCGCAGGAGTAATTAATCTTCTAATTTCTATATCGTTTCCTTGTATTGAAACGGATTTGTGATTATGTAGTAATTTTTCTAGGATTGTAGTGTTACTGAGATATATGCATACTCTGTTATTTGAAATTCTGGACGCAAAGATGATATTTTTTGGTTGTACTAAAGTTCCTATTGCTGTTATGTATTCGTGTATTTTTATATCTGGTACTGATGACAAAACAATTGCTTGTTCTTTGGATGGAAAGTTAAAGCTGCTTACGGCATTAGAGTAGGTTAATGTTGAAGAAGAGGTTGGTGTTGAAGATGATAATAATGGTTTGGTGATTACTGTGTCTGTTTTTAAATTGTTATCCATTTTTAATTTTTAATTTCTTCATTTAGTATAATTATACTAGAGCCGCTACTGACTTAAGGTAATTAAGCCGGCTTATCGGCGTTTTTATTTGAAATAAAAATAGATCTTCTGTTTAGTTTTCAATAAAATTCTTTAAATGGTTTTATCTGGATCAAATAAAAATTGTACTTACAATTTTTCTTTTCTGTAATTAGAAGACACTTTAATTTCACTCTTAGTACAAACTTGTATTTAAAGTTTTGGTATAAACCAACAAAAAACACGTTTTATTCGGAGCTGAAATTTATCGACACGTTACTAATGAGTCTCGATTCGAAGTCGTACCTTTATGTTTAAATGTCAAAAATTTAGTTAATTTACAATCCAAATTATATTCACTGTAAAACTAAAATAACAATTGTGTAGTTAGTGAATTTCTTTAAAACCTTTAAAGAAACAAGCAATTTCACTATTGGAAATTAAGGTTCGCTCTTTAAAGTTAACTCCGAATAGCAGGAGCGTAAAGTTTGAGTTGAGTTTTGATTAATACCGTAAGAAATACGGGTATAGATTTTTTTTTCGTAACAACTAAGCAAGGTTTATTTACTTACTTGAACGGTATCCATGAAAGTCATTGGTAAAACTTCATCTAAGGCCCCAATATCCTTTGAAAACCTATTAAGTATTCTTCCAGAAGGATTTATGGTGAAAAACCTCATAGGACTATAAACTATATTCTCGAACATCGTATTGTGCATTTTTGTTGAAGCAGTTATAGACCATGCGTAGAACGAAGACGATCTAATGTTCATAATAACGACCATAAGAATGTTTAGAACACTAAAGTAGATTACAGTGTTTTCGCTTATGAACAATGGAGTTAGCCACCAGTCTGCGAAACCTGTATTATCAGCTGATTGAGGAGAAGCAGTGGTGAAGTCTAAGGGTGCAGTAATATTTGCCAAAGGGGCAGGCTCTATCGAGGATGTTGTATTTTGTAAAGATTTCCATTGCTGAATATTGACCCTGCAAATGAATATAAATAAATATTTAATAGAATTGGCATTGCCCTACACCAGGGGTCTCCAAACTTTCCAGCCTTAGGGCCATACTGATTACTCCAGTAAGTTCCGAGGGCCAAGATGGCAACACTGTATTTTATATATATTTTTTTATATTTTATTATTATTTATATATTTTATATATTTCTGTATTTTATGTGTAATAGAATTTTGCTGAAGTGTGGATCATTTTTTGTAAAATAACGAATAATTTAATTTTTTGTAAGTGTGGTAAGCTGTCAACATTATTAAGTATGTCAAATATTCACCTATTTTGATATATTTTAATTAAATACAAGGTAGACATAAACAAACAAAATATTTCCACCAGTGGAAATCTCCAATCTCTCCCGAGATTGTCCACTAATAACATAATTATTCTTTCTACTATTTTTCAACGCCATCGTTAAAAATTGTCACAAACACACTTAACTATCCGAAATAATAAGAAGTCTGAAAAATAATAGCCGCAAATCACTTAAGTGTTACGCACCTGATAACTGGGAGGAGACTAAAGACCCCACCTAAGTGGGACGAGTGCGAGGACGAAGCGATGACAATAGTGGCGTAACTACAAGTCAGTTCCTATAAAACTGTTGTGAAATAAAATAGGGCGTACCTCCTTAAAACAAGTTTGTGCGTGTAACAGTATTTTGACTTGATTTGAATTGTTGCTTTTGTGTGTGATTTAGTAGAATGGAAAAGAAGCGAAAAATTGATAGTGAATGCAGAAAATTCAAAGATCAGTGGAACATTCAGTATTTCGTAATTGAGTCCAGTAACAAGGCGCTATGTTTGATTTGCAATGAAAGCATAGTCGTTCTTAAAGAATATAACATGAAACGTCATTATGAAACAAAACATTCTCAAAATTACTCAAAATATACAGGAATTGTGCGGACGGAAAAATTCGAAGCTTTGAAGTGCGGAATGAAATCGCAGCAATCTTTATTTATAAAAGTCAAAACTGAACAAGAGGCGGCAACTTGTGCCAGCTTTCGTGTGGCACTTGAAATTGCAAAACGTGGAAAACCATTCACCGATGGAGAAATGATCAAGGAATGCATAATTGCAGTAGTCGAAGAAATGTGCCCTGAAAAGGTAAATTTATTAAAAACTGTCAGTATGTCAGCAAACACTGTGTCTCGAAGGGTAGGAGACATCGCTGAAAATATATCCTCTCAACTGTTCGACAAAAATGGACATGTTGAGTGGTTTTCTTTGGCCTTGGATGAGTCAACGGATGTGTCAGATACTGCTCAGGTGTTGATTTATATTAGAGGAGTAGATAAAAGCTATGAAGTGCACGAAGAACTTCTTGATATGTATAGTATTCATGGCACAACTACTTGTACCGATATTTTTAAAGGAGTTGAAATGGCGATTAATAAGAAGAACCTTCGATGGAAAAACTTGAAATGTATTACAACTGATGGAGGCAAAAACATGAGTGGGAAAGATAAAGGAGTGGTCGCTCTTGTGTCAAAGGCTGTAGAAAATGACGGCGGCTCAAAACCATTAGTCTTACATTGTATCATTCATCAACAGTCTTTGTGCGGAAAATGTTTGAATATGTCTGACGTTCTGAAACCAGTCATATCAACTGTTAATTTCATCAGATCTCTTGGGTTGAATCACCGACAATTCCGACAATTTATTGCAGAGATTGGAGAAACAGACTTACCTTATCATACTGCCGTACGCTGGCTTAGTTGTGGGAAAGTCCTTCAGCGCTTTTTTGAACTTCGAGCAGTGATCAAAATTTTTTTGAATGAAAAGCACCGCCCTCTTACTGAATTACAAAACAACGCATGGCTATGGAAGTTAGCATTCTATGTTGATTTGACAAAATATGTGAACGAACTGAATTTGAGATTGCAAGGAGAAAACCAGCATCTTCCTGATTTATACACTAATATCAAGTCATTCCGGATGAAATTGATACTGTTTCAATCACAACTACGAAGTAAATGTTTTTTACATTTTAAAACATGTGAAATATTCAGCCACACTACTGAGACTGAGTTTCCTATCGATTTTGCAATCGAAACTTTGAGTGCTTTGAAGATAAATTTTGATACTCGTTTCTGGGACTTTGATGCCATTGCGAATCAAATTAAGATTTTTCAGAATCTTTTTGATGCTGACATTGAAACCCTAGCCCCGGAACTTCAAATGGAAATGATTGATCTTCAGTGCAGTGATATAATTAAGAACAAATATGAAAACTCATCTTTGTTGGAATTTTATAAGAGTCTTCCACTGACACAATTTGATAATTTGCATAAATTTGCTCGTGGGCTGTTTTCCGTTTTTGGTACTACTTATTTGTGTGAGAAAACCTTCTCCAAAATGAAGTACACAAAAAATGTATACAGATCTAAATTAACTGACGAGCATCTTAAATCTCTTTTAATAATTGGTACAAGTAAAATTAGTCCACAACTACAAACTATTGTCGGTGGAAAATCTCAATTACATACATCTCATTAGCATTTCATATGTCATGTTTGTTATAAGGTATGTGTTGTTCATTACTTACAATGTATAAAATGTTAGTTGGATTCATTTCAATAATTTGTTAGTTATTATATGCTGAAGTTAAATTTACTGCATAAATTATACATGTCTTTACTCATTACCATTCTGTGTTTCTTTATCCAACTTAACACAAACATTTTATTTGCTATAAAAAATATTTGTTCTCTAAAAGGAGTTTTCAAGTATGTCTCCGCGGGCCGAACAAACTCTGTCTGCGGGCCGGATGTGGCCTTCGGGCCGTAGTTTGGAGACCCCTGCCCTACACTATCAGAATGAATCAACATAAACTATAAGCCTTATAAAATCGAATACGTAAGGTATTACAAATAAAAACAGAAATATAGCAATTACTTACCAGAAAGTAACGAAATATTGGCACATACTCAACAAAGCTTGACCCATTACAAACAGCATTATTAAGCAAAAAGATTTAAACAGATGTCCACCAGCTTGGGCATATTTTAGGTAAACACGTCCAGAAATATTACCGGTACTTTTAGCTTCTCTTTCTAACACTTGTACTTCTTCTTCTTCGGTTTTTTCCTGTTTGGTTTGAATCATTCTGGACTTCCTTCTTATTTCCTCTTCTTCTTCTTCTATATTGGCCAACAGTTTACTGTAATCTGTATTAGAATCTCTTATATCATTATAAGAACCGGAAACAGCTACTTGACCATTCTTTAATAAATATATATTCGGTATTTTCTTTAAATATTGTAGTTGATGGGTCACCAAGACGACACATTTATTTCCAAGATATCCACAGATACACTCTTCAAATATATGTTTGCCAACATGAGTGTCAACGGCGGATAGAGGATCATCTAGTAAGTAAATATCAGCTTGTTTGTAAACAGCTCTAGCTAAGTTAATTCTAGCCCTTTGGCCACCACTTAAAGTAACTCCCCGTTCACCCGCTAGTGTTCTATCTCCGTGAGGAAATAGAGTAAAATCTCTTTGTAATGCGCACACTCTTACTACTTCATTATATTTTACTTGGTCGTATTTTTCTCCAAATAGAATATTCTGTCTTATACTGCCACCAAATAGCCAAGGCTCCTGAGATGCATAAGAAACTTTACCATTCACAGTGACAGATCCACCTTGGAGCTCGAGCTCCTTCATAATTATGTGCAATAAGGTCGTCTTTCCACTTCCTACAGAACCAACAACAGCTGCTAAATTACCAGGTGTTACATCCATGTCAATGTCTTCTAAATTGTTCTCAGGTTGCGATTTCAACCATTTAGCAGATGCATTTTTAATATGGATGCTTCCCTTATCGGAACCAGTTGATTCTTTTAGAGCAAGTTTGCCGTTTTTATTACCATTCAGGGAATTTTGAGGAATGTAATCAGCGTCAGTCTTGAGCTCATCATATTGCAAGAATCTCTGGATTCTCTTCATCGATATGTACATTTCGGAGCCTTGAGAAACGGCCTGGGGAAAGAAGTAAGTTAGTGAACCCATCAAACGGTAATATGATGTAACTGTGAATGCATATGAAGCTGTTAGAGGATTTCCTGTCAAAACAAAAGTAACCAAACAGATTGCAACAGCTACGTCATTTAAAGTCATGGCCAAGGACATCAGAATTGCACGGATGACAGATGTTTTCCTGATGAACTTTACTTCGTTGCTAAAATATTAAAAAATATAATTTTAATTGCTACACATTATTAAAATTAAACTATTATAAATGCCAAGATATTCGTGGAGAGATGTGTAAATCCAGAAAAAAATATTTACTTATTTATTTATATAATATAGAGTAAAGTGCCATAATATCAGATAGTTGCCTATTATCGGATAGTTCTGTTTTAAAGAAACCTGTAATCTGGTTAACAAGAAACATAATCCAGGTGGAGTTAAACCCAGGTCGCCGAACAATATTTTAGCGTCTCTAGTAAAATATAGAGGGCACTAGACTAAGTTTTCCGAATTTTTGCATTACGAGTTTTTACACGCGCCAGTCCTGTATTTCAGGTATAATATGTCTACTTTAATTAAGTGCATGTGGTCAGTGGATTACTAATTTTTTTTTTAATCCAGAAACATAACCTTCACAACAGGTGATCATTTGCCTAATATGAGGTGGTTACACTGTCTATCAGATATCCGATATTAGGACAAAATATTTCTTTTTTATATAGAATATCTACTATATCATTTCTATGTAGTTAAGGTCGTATTAACAAGTACATTTTAATATTTTCGTCGACAAAAAAAAAGAACGATTCTATAATTTTTGCACAATGTCTGCTTATTTTATCTCATTTCTTATCGCAGTTAAACATAAAGAAATGGGGTACTTGCGAGCTTCAAAAACTTTTAAAGTTCCCAAGAGCGCGTTGGAAGATTACGTAAAAAATAAACTAAAGTCATTTGAAGAACTTATTCAAAGCAATATGGGACATCTATTAGTATTTTCCAAAGAAATTGAAGCGAATTTGGTTGATTATTACCTAGAAATGGATAGAATCTTGTACAAACTGCGATTTTCTGTTATTCGAAGATTATCCTTTCAATTAGCTATTCGGAACAATTTAAAACATCCATTTTCAACTTATCATGGTTACAAAAGGTTGCGTTCACTTTTAAAGAGGCATCCTGAACTAACGTTTAGGAGACTTTAAGGCAGAATTGCTCAACGGCGTTCCACTAGGGACAATAGCTGCTTGCCATATGTCTGGCTGGATTCAGAGTCACATGTTCACCAATTGGTTACTACATTTTATTAGCCACGTTAAACCAAGTGAAGCTGATCCAGTTTGCGCAGATTGTAGGCGGTTGACTATAGGCTCTAGGTATTCAGAATATTTTGCAATCAAAATGACAGCGACAATAAATCCTGACTTGCATGCCGCAGAATGCAACTGATAAGATGTTTTTCTCGTGGCCAAATTTCCTTCAACGGATAGAGTTTGCAAGGCCTGTACAATTTCAATGAATTTTTTTCGAAAAACCCTAATTACCTTGTATTTCTTGGACCACCGTGTTTCGCAGAGGCTAGGGATATTTGCTATCATATTCCTTCTTAATACTGATTCACGGAAGAAATTGGTTATGTCTTTAATAGTATTTCGCACTTCATTTAAACGGTTCAAATCGTTCACAACTAAATTTAATCTGTGTGACGCACAGTGGAAAAAAAAGATTTGCTGTATTTTTTGCTTAAAATTGCTTGAACTCCGCCTTCCTTTCCCGACATAGTGGAGCAACCATCAAACCCCAGGCCGACACATTTGAGTGGATCAACTTCATGATTTGTCAGGAAATCATCAATTGCCTTTGCAATGCTTGGTGCATTCAGAGCATCGAGCTGAACAAACCCTGTAAATTCTTCACGAATTTCTTCTGCTTCTTAATCAAAATATCTCAAACCAATTGACAACTGTTCTTTGCCTGAAATGTCGGCGGTTTCGTCAGCTAATATTGCGTAGTAGTTAGCTTTTTTGACTTTTTCAAAAAATTTTCTTCTGATTACTTGGCCGCAGATGTCAATTATTTTATTTTGTTTCCTCACTGACTTGTATGACGCATTCTTAGCGTCATCTTTTTTTATATGTAAGTATCATCGAACATATTCAATAATAAAAATACCAAGTGGAAAAAATTTCCGAATATCCATCGTAAAACAAATACACCAAAGACACAACACTCGTACAAATATCAAAATTCGGGAGATCAGTCTTGCAACTTATTACTTCTGCATCTAGACTACAACAATAAACAATAGGGTTTGTGACGTAGTATTTCGCGCAGACAGGCAAACCAAACCGTTTCTAACAGTGGCGGGCGGAAACAGGTAACTTTAAAATAGATTTTTATAAATAAATTATATTCAATTAAAGTGAAGAATGAATTTGTCAATGTTTCATAGTTTTTAATAATTTATGAGGTGTATAGTCAGTTATATAAATAAGAATGCCCCTCCCTGTGGACGCCCATGATGTCAGTTACAAAGAAGAATTAAGAAGAATTTATGAGGTTATGAAGAGATTATTAGCTAGAAGAAGGCATTGATTAAGTTAAATGAATTAATTAAGTCAAATACAGTTGGAGATTAATTATTACTACAGTAATATAGTGACAGTATGAAGTTAATTCATTGAAGTAAGCATTCAATAGTACAACCACAAGATCCAGTATATTTGAAAGTACATTATATGGAAATTACAAGGATTTAAATTTATATATTTATATGGTGAGTGGAGATAATTAAGAAGAAACATATTAAAATTGTTGGATAACCAAATTTTGTTAATAATTTAATAATTGTAAGAATTTCAAATTTTAGATAGATTGTTTATATTGGTATTGCTTATACTAGATAGATATATTTGTTTCATAATAGTTATAATAAAGATAATTTAAAAAGTACTTACAAACTAATTCTTTGAGAACCGCGATAAAAACCCTATACTTACATATAACATTCAAATTTACTCATAGCTCATATAAGAAACATCACATCATAACAATATATATATATATATATATATATATATATATATATATATATATATATATATATATATATATATATATACCGGTATTTAGGCACCAGGCCTTTCCGGTAGGGATCTATGAAAGAGTATTACTGGGACGCAAGCCCTTATCTCTTGCCGTACTGCTCCACCATAAGCCAATCAGACACCTGCATTTTCCAGTCTTAGCTACAGATTCATCTAGAATTGTAAACTACTGCGTTAATCTTTTTTATTTTTTTGTATACCCAGCCGGGGCTTGAACCCACATTCACTAAACAATTCGACAGTGAAGCGAATGAGAATCGGCCGCCTGGCCCGCTTGGCTATCTGACCGACCGAAAAACCTAGTCACTTTCTAAAAATCTTTTTTTTTTAATCTTTAATCTCAGTCCACTAATGAGCCAAGAAGTTTACTTATTAGAACCCCAATTATATTTTCGGTTGACTCCCAAAAAACACAACCAATAAATCGTAAAATGTCACTAAAAATTACTTACAAAATATTGTAAACTTGATCTACTTACCCTCTAACATACTCCACTAATTTGGCAAATGGGTATTCCCAAGTGTACATTTTGATTACCTGAATTCCAGAAATGATTTCATTCATTAGCCTAACTCTTTCATCGGTACGAGTGGCAGTTTTCAATCTAAACTGCGAAGTTTTCTTACCCAACCATGCTAAAAATGATACAGATATAAATTCCATAAACATAATATGTATTTTTTAATTGTCTGAGAAGACAGCTAGATGTTTCTTCTTTTTTATGTCCAGTTAGGGAAGTGTTGAAAGTCGGTATAGTTTTGGTTCATGGAGGAATATGGAAGTTACTGATGAGGATGGTTATTGCTACGTCGATATCTGCTTACAAAGGCTTTACTAATTGTGAAATATGGTACACAGATCTGTCTATATTTCTAGAAACTTGATGAATAATATTGATGAGTTTGATTACCAATTTTTTTTGGATTGGCGGAAACTCTAACGAAATAAGAAGAGAGCAGAAGCTGATACGGTATGAAAAGGGGAAGGTTGAAAGACTAAATCCACATGCTTTCAAAGGGACTAGATCGCAATGGACTTAAAAATAAACGTAAAATAAACGTTGAATTTAGAGATTTGATATAAGTATTGTAGGAGGTCATTTAGAGCATACTGTCATAATCTAATATGGAGTGAATAAGAGCTCTAGAAATTCTCAATAAGATATAATCTTTAGCGCTCCATTGGTGGTGAGCTAGAGTTTTTAAAATTTATGTTCTGTTTAAACAGTTGCTTTTAGTGTTTTCAATGTTATATCTTCATGTAAGTCGTGTATCAAAAGTCTTCTTCTTCTTTTGGTGCCTAATCGTTTCAAATATTGGTGATAATTCTGGATATAATTATTTTATTAACTGATGCTTTAAATGGATAAGTTGTTGGATTTTTTCAGTAATCATTACCTATGTGTCAAAGATATTCTAACCTTCTCCTTTTAATCGTATACATCACTTCTCTTTCTTTCCCCATTCTTCGTAGTATAGTCTCGTCGGTTTTCTTGTCCGTGCATGATATCCTTAGGATTCCTCTGTGTAGCCACACATCGCAGGCTTTAAGTTTCTCTATCGCTTCAGTGAGTGTTCAGCATTCAACTCCGTAGTATAATATCGAGAAGATATAACATAGTAGGAGCCTTACTTTAATCTCCTATCTCAAAAGTAACTCTTAAAAATTTGATTAGGTCAACAAGTTTAAGTGAGAGTCCGTTTAGTATAGGCGAATAGGAACCATATCTTCTACTAAATTGAAAAACTCTAGATTTTAATGGTAAACATTTGAAATCAATGTCTGATGTTCTACAGTGAGGAAAATGTAGGTTTGGTGACTTTTCCTTGACCAAATATGATAAGGTCGTCCACATGTATCACATATTTTACTGGCAGGGAAACGAAGGAACCTACGTCATTTATACTATAAAGAAACAAGGAACTTTTCAGAACTAAGCCTTGTGGTACACCGTTTTGAAGAGTACGTGATGCAGATGTTTTTCTATTTGTAGCACTTTTAAAGAATATGTAAAAAAATAACATGTAAATGATAATATATTTCCGGAAACATTAAGTTTTTTAAGTTTTCTAGTGACGAAACTTTTAGATACAGTATAAAATGCGCTCTATATATCCAAGGATACAGCTACAACATCGCTGTTATTTGTTATGACTTGAGAAAATTCTGATTGAAGAAGAACCAAGTTGTCTATCGGGCTTCTATTAGCTGTAAAACCTAACAGCATCATCTAGAAGATTATGCTACTACATATGCCAAAGCAGACGTTGGTTTATCATCGGCTCTAGTAATTTAAAAAGCGTACATGTTAATGAGACTGGTCTAAAAGAGTTGGGAGAGTTTGATAAGCAATTAGTTTTAATTGTCGCCAGAGGGCAGAAAAATCTCGACTACATCATATATTGTAAAGTTCGAGGAGCTTGGATAGCGTTGCTTGGTGAAGATTTATAAGAAAAATTCACGGAATATTATCAGGACCAGCTGCTGAATTTTTTGTAGAAGAGATAGCTGGATTTAGTTCTTGTTAGGTAAAAGGAAAATTCACACTTAAGAGAGGTATTCTGTCAAAACAGCTATAATGATAATAAATTATAATACAATTTGTGGAAGTGTTGAAAACAAAAGTCTTCAGTATTTTATGGCTTGCTAAAATGAACTTCCATCAAGTACCGAATCGAATCAAGTATCAAATCCATCACATACTTAAAAGGAAAATAATTAATTGGTTTTGATTGATGTAAAGCAAGAGGTGTATTATTGTTTATCTATGAAATAAAAAAAATGGCTTTGGTTTTAACATGAAAGCGTTATGCAAGTATGTTAGTTATTTGTTGATGGTCTGTAACAACATTGCCTTTATGAAATATTGCAGATATAGAATAAGTTGTATTTACACCCTTCGTCTGTCTTATTTTTGTCCATACTAGGGAAGGAGAGAAATCTATAGATAGTTTAGTTTTTTTTCTGAAAAATGCCTTTGGCAGAGTCAATTATCCAGACAGGGCCTTTTTGCATTCTTTCGTTGCTATTTTGCAGAAACTATTCCACCAAGAAAGAGTTTTCCTTGAGGAATTTGTGCATTCTATGCATTGGTCGGTAGCACAGATGAGGCAATCTGTAAATTGCATTACAGATTCATCAAGGTTATTTCTATAGCTAATTTGATCCGTTAAGTCCTTAAGACTTATACTAAAGGAATTCCAATTTGCTTAAGAAATATTCCATATTACACGAACATAGTTGGATTTTAGTGAAAAATCGAAAATAAGAATAGGAAAGTGATTAATAGCATAAACATTTTGCAAAGTGTTCCAGTAGAGGAGAGGAGCAATTAATTTTGGGATCACAAGAACTCAAGTCTATGGAGAAAAACGTTCCGGATTGTATATGAAAATATTTATAGTTTTCAAGGTTTAAAAGGTTAATATTGGTATTGTTTCTTATGTGTTTGATAATTTTTCCTTGGCCAAATGCTTGTTTAGATCCCCATAGTGTGTTGTTGGCATTGATATCTCCAACTTAACTAAAAGGAACGGACAGTTAGCAGTATTCATCACATAACCCTCTACCTATCAACAGCAGAATATGCCTGCCCCGTTTAATAGCAATCAAGACACATTTATAACAAATACAGAGTAATAAACAAGACAACAATAGGTAAAGAAATAATAAATAAGACTTACTCACAATCAATTTAATTTAACTATCAGACGACCGGTTTCGCTTTCTCCAATATGCAAAGCATCTTCAGGTCTCGATACAAAGTTAAACAAATGCTGAAATGATAAAACCCATATTAGGGTGTTGTCTAATAAAGATAAACAAATTAGATGTTATAAATTACAATAATTATGCCAATATTACATGTCTGTGGTTTTATTTAAATGATTGAGTTGAATAAAAGGTATAAAATTTTTTTTAAAAAGGTTAAAAAGACAAGGTAAGGCCCACAAATTGTTATAAAATCTATTCTATTGTAATAAATTAATAAATGAGCAAATAAATAAATAAAATAAAATTACTTACATGCCGGTACTCTATTAATAGATGGATGGTAGAACATGTTTGAAACTACTTTATATTGTTGAATGGAGAACTCAATACTATTATTGCAGTTGTTTGACAGTAAACGGGAAGTTCTTGAGGAGATAGATTTGATCCAATGAATTTGAGATATGTGTGAGATTGTTTGTTAAATGTAAGTGGTGTAATATACTATTGTGTTATTAAAAGTTATTTATACTTATTCCAGAGATATATTTTTGAAATGTGAAATGAAAAATAATTATTGTAATTTATAACATCTAATTTGTTTATCTTTATTAGACAACACCCTAATATGGGTTTTTATCATTTCAGCATTTGTTTAACTTTGTATCGAGACCTGAAGATGCTTTGCATATTGTAGAAAGCGAAACCGGTCGTCTGATAGTTAAATTAAATTGATTGTGAGTAAGTCTTATTTATTATTTCTTTACCTATTTGAAATGGACTCACACAAGCAACACAATCATGATTTAAGACAACAATAGTTTAACACCTTCACTTATTATCAGGCATCGCTCTCACATTTATAAGAAAGGAAAAGCACAGCATGGAAAAATGAACTAACCAGATAAATAACCATTAACTACCTCTATTCGGCCATATTCCTGTACATGAACGACTTAAATCTAAAGTATCATTTACTAAAACAGTTGAGCAATTATTCTATAACGTAAAAGCAACGAAATCCATAATGTTCAATGAATAGCAAACGGGAAATCCACAAAAGTACTTCAGAAGTACTCCCGCTAGGTGAACAACTGGACTAACAAAGATGGAATACACTGAATAGACTACGTTTAGATATGGGAAGATTCAAACAAAATATGGTTTCTTGGGGATACATTAAGAGAGATAATAGCTATGCATGCAGTGTGATCTAATCAATGAGACACCTATTTCGTCTTGTAAACTGTGAGCAAGAGTGCTGTGATGTAGACTTAACGGAATGTAAAGACATAGCATTAGGTCATGTCAATAACTAGTTTAACGAAATACGAAAGTTTTGTTGTTTTATTTAAGTTTTTATCGACTTACATCTATTTACATGTATATTAATTATAAAAGTTTACTGTGCTGTATTTTATATTCATTTACAGTTGCTGTAACTAAAATTGTAAGATTTGTGAGGAAAATGTAGTTTGTACGCGAAATAAAAAATAAAATACAAAATTTATATTAAAATCTAAAAGTGAATTATCTTATAATAATACTTACACTGTAAGGGTATGGACAATAATAAAAATACTGTTCCAAGAAGTCCTGTCCATCCAACAACAACGTATAAAAAGACCATCACAATAAGTGCTTGTATTGGAGCCATATAGAAGTAATGAAGATGATGTACAGCTTGATCGAATCTTCCTACATCATTAGAAAGTAAATTTACCATCTGTCCAATCGTTGTTTCCGCTAAAGCAGATTTGCTAAGTCTTAAAGCTTTCCTATATATCACAGAACAAGAAGCTACTCTCATTTTCATACCAACTTGCATCATTGCTAAATTGAATCTATGGAGAAGGATCACATTAACAAGTGAAGTCGCTACTATTAATCCTGAGTACAGATAAACATCGTTGATATTGTCTTTGGGATCTTTTTCATAAATTGTTAGTAGTTTTGATATTATAAATGGTTGAGCCATTCTAAAAAAAACACTGTATTAACTTAACTGAAGAGCATCAAAATAATAAAGAATTAAAGTTTATTCATTAACAACAGTTGTTCAATAAAATATTGATACACATTTAAAAAATTGAATAATGTAATATAGTGTATTTCTGTCAAATTAAAATTTGTTTGTATTAATAGCGGACGTTAACACTAGAAAGTCGGGCTTAGCATACCTACCTAGAAAGCCCGAAAGGATCATTTTGACCCCAAGTTCCTAAATCAATAAAAACCAAGTTTACAATTAACTATTTATTTGGGAATAAACAAAAAATAAAAATAAACAGTTTTAAGAAATTATAAACTCTTGACGATAGAATTTGATTTAATTTTTTTGTTTCATTTTAAACATTTGGAACACCATACAGTTTGCAGTTTTTGGCATTTGCCACACATTGCCTTGTTACAGCCGTGGCACTCATTGGAAGTATGATTTCCTTTACAAAATATTTTTAACTGAAATTTTTTTCTTTTTTGGCTAGTGCTGGTGGTTGGTAAATCCGGTGGTGCTGGGTATAGTACCAGATTTCGGGAGGCAAGGTATGGAGCCCGTAATTCTTTACACAGCTGAAGAATAAACTTACGACGACTGATTTTACTTCCAGTAACTTCTTTATAAATAATCCTTGCATTTATTGCTCCTAAGTCAAGAATATTATAAAACACGTGCATTGACCATCGTCTTGAAGCAACTTTTGTAGTATAAAGACGCGCCATTTGGTCCACTATATTAACCCCGTATTTTGTTTTATTATAAAAACTTAATGTTTGAGGAAGTTTTTTTCCATCGACAGCAACATCCACTGATTGATGTAATGAGCTCAACAAAAGCACATTTTTGTGACTCTTTCCTTGGTATGCAGTAAGTGTCATCTTTTCGTCGCTATGGAATATAAGGGTAACATATAATTCTCCATTTTTACTCTTTACGCTTAGAGGAACTTCCTTTCTGTTGCGATTCAAAGTACCCACAAGACTTGTTTTTTTTATTTAATAAAACTCCAACAGGAATCTTATGACAATTGCTATCTGATCATTCACTATGATTAATAAGCAAGTAAGTTCTATATATATAAATATTTGATTTACAAAACTTGTTGATTTTTTTTGCAATGCCTTGGCCAATGTTAACGATGTAAAGTAGTTATCTGTCGTAACATTTTTGTCTTTTCCCAGTTGATTTTCCATTAACTGCAAAACAACATGTTCACCAACACTTGTATCTTTCTTGCGTAAATAATCAGTGCCAGTATAAGGGTAACCATTTACAATATATTTTAATTCCACGTATGTCAAAAGCCAGAATTTTAAGCCAAACTTATCCGGTTTACTTGATATGTACTGTGTGAACGAGCACCTGGCTTTAAAAGGCAGTAGTTCTTCGTCCACAGTAAGGTTTATTCCCGGTTTGTAACATGCACCACTATTTTCTATAAATCCATTCCAAACCGCAGAGGCTAGAGCAAATTTGTCGGTTTTCAATCGTTCAGATATCGTTTGCTTCATATCAAATCTGAGATATTTTATAATATCCTTGAATCTGTCTCGTGGTATAGTTTGCCTTAAAAACTGAGGACCCCATACTGTTGACCACAAGCTGTTGGTTGGGAAATTTTTGGCGCCGTAGACTCCTCTTGCGTACATAATAGCAAGGGCAGCCTTCAGTTCTTCCAAAGTTATAGTCCAAAAGCATTCACGATATACAAAACATTCACAATAGATTCACGATAAAATTAGCTGACTCGTGCTGTTGAGTTGTAGAAGTAGTGTTTACATAAATTGGTGGGTCTTGTACAATAAAACTTTCTAACTGCTCTGAAGCATCAGAGTTACTTGAATCATTATTTTGTGGTGGTACGTATTGTTCATCGTCTGACTCATTATTTTCTGCAAATTCAGATTCACCTCCCGAAACATCTTCTTGTATTTTTCGTATTTCTTCAAGAAGTTCAAGGTCTGATAGTCCACGACGAGACATCTTGTGTGTCAATATTCTAGAAACGAGAGTCAGCAGAACCTAATAAACTGCTCAATAAACAAAATACTTTCAAGGAACAAACAGTATGTAACAAATACCTACTAGGAATAAACGTACATAAACATAATTTTATCTATCCGACAGAAAGTTAAAAGAAATCGTCAAATTTCCGAGAAAACGATAATAATTAATACAGGCCAGTTTGGCCTCTTCAGACTTCTATGGTAGGTTTGTTAGAAAATCCATTTAATAAATTTAGTAAACAAAATTTTTTGCGTTAAATAAGACTTTGCGTTAATCAAAATATTAAAAGTCATAAAATATAAAATTATTATTGTGTCAAATAAAAGAACTACAATAACTTCCAATTGCAACAGGGGCCAAATTGGCCCCTCCGACTTTCTAGTGTTAACAGTTCATTTATTCGAGCATTTAAACATCACTTTGTTAAGAGTTTAGTTTACTTTAGGATGCACTCCGCTCTTAATATCGATATTAATTGAAGAGACATGTCAATAAAATTTATATCAATTGGATTTAAAATTACTAACTTTGAATGACATTTCTACCAGCATAATGTTGATATCGGAAACGTAAACAATAATATCATAATGTATGTACATAAAGTGTAATGTTATTGCTTTAATAATAATTAGAATGATCATGATAAAAAATTATAAATCATTATCTCAAAATACTTTTTTTTATTAAAATTATGACCTGTATTATATTATATAATCTTTCAACCGTCTTAAATTAGAGACGGTGCTCTAAGACAGCCAAATCTCACAACTACACGCGCCGCAACACTGCGACACGAAATATGTTAATTATATATGACCAAGCCACTTTATAAATGTAAGACGATATCCAGTCATTTCTGGAGGTAATTTTAACAGCTAACACCAAGAATCAAAGTACAACACTTAGCGTAAAAATAACGAAATCTCGTTAAACCAGAAAATGAAGAGATGTATACAATATAAAGCTGCAATTAATTCTTCAATGAAAAGTAAAAGGAAAACGAGGACCGTGAAGGCGAAGAATTTTCTGGCTGAAAAAACTGCGTACGTTGTTCAACACAACAACCACAAATCTTTTAAAAGCCGCAGTTTACAAAATACAGATTGCCATGATGGTCGCCAACCTTCGAAACGGATAGGCAGTACCAGGAGAAGAAGAAGAAGAAGACGTGTGTTCAATGACAGACTTCTATTGCACAATTAAGAACGCCAGTTAATATTTTTTTTCGGGCAATTTCTATTCTGGTCAAATTTTCCACGTCATTTTCAAACCTGCAGTCATTCCAACTACCCAGATATCTAAAGTAATCCGTCCTTTCCAGGATTGGTTTTTTTTTAACCTTTTTTCTATCCTTCCATTGTTGGATATAGGTCTCCCCGAGTTCTCTCCATCTTTCCTTATCTTGAGCTGTTCTCTGCCATGTGGGACCTCCTTGTTTCCTAATGTCATTTTTCCACCTCATCTGTGGTCTGCCTCTAGATCTCTTTGCATTGTATGGACGCCACTTTCCGATGGCATTGTTCCATCGTCCGTCTTGGAGACGTTCATTGTGTCCAGCCCATTTCCATTTTAGTTTTGCTGCTTGTTCTATCGCGTCTAATGTCTTTGTTCTGGTTCTGATCCGCTGGTTACGTTTTCTATCTTTAAGTGATATACCCAACATTTGTCTCTCCATCGCTCTTTGTGCCTTCCTTATCCTATCCAAATTGGCCTGTGTAAATGTCCATGTCTGTGCTCCGTAGGTGAACACCGGTATTATACAGGAGTTATATACCTTGCTTCGTAAGTATAGAGGGATTGTTTGATTTTTTAGAACGTAAGAAAGTTTGCCGAACGCTGCCCATCCCATTCTTACTCGTCTCGATATTTCGGCTGTTTGATTTTCTCTGTTAGCTCTGATTGCTTATGCTAGATAGATATACTCATTTACCTGTTCTATTTTTTCTGTTTGTATTTTTATTGCCTCTTGGTCTTCCGTGTTTGTCATTACTTTTGTTTTGTTGAAGTTAATTTTTAGGCCTTTTTGCAGTGATTTTTTATGAAGTTAATTCAGCATTAATTCCAGTTCTTGTCGTTCCGATGAGATCAGGAGTATATCATCCGCATATCTATGGTGATTAAGGTATTTTCCGTTAATACATTTTCCTCTATTTTCCCAATCTGTTAATTTTATTATGTGTTCGAGGGTCAAGGTAAACAGTTTAGGTAAAATTATATCGCCTTGTCGGACTCCTCGTTTAACTTTTATATTATCCGTTATTAATTTGTCGTCCAGAATTACGGTCATGGTTGCGTTTCGGTAAATATCATGTATCAATTGTCGGTATCTTGAATCTATTCTACTATTGACCAGAGCTTCTTTAACCGCCCAGTGTTCAATGCTGTCGAAAGCCTTTTCATAATCTACGAATGCTAAGTACAGCGGAAGGTTGTATTCATTGGTTTTCTCAATTAAGATTTTAAGCGCATGTAGATGGTCGATTGTGCCGTATCCTTTCCTGAATCCGGCCTGTTCCACTGGTTGGTAGTTATCAAGTTTATAAGTTAGTCGGTTGTTTATTATTCTTGTGAAGGTTTTATATAGTTGTGACAAAAGGGAAATAGGACGGTCGTTGTTTAGGTCTGTTCGGTCTCCTTTCTTACGTATTAAGATTGTGTCGGAATTTCTCCATTTTTTATGTATTTTACCTTCAAACAGACATTTGTTGAACAGTATTTTTAGCATTTTTTATCGTGTCTCCTTCTTCTTTTAGCAGTTCCGCTAGTATTTTGTCCTCACCAGCCGCTTTATTTCTTTTCATGTCGTTTATGGATTTTTCGATTTTATCTTCAGTTATTTCTTGTAATATCTCTGAGCCAACATTTTGTATTTTCGTCGAGAGATTTTTAGTATTTCTCCTAGATCTCTTTCTTCATTGTTCTCAGCTTTAAGCATGATTAGTTTTCTGTTTGCTATATTTGTCTTCATTGTTTTTAAACTTTTGTTCTTCTCTATGATTTTTTTAAAGCGATCTTCTTGGTATTTCTTTAAATCTTCCTGTATCTGTTTTCTTATGGTTTTGTTCAGTTCGGAAACTCCACTGTATTTATTTTGTTATCATTCAGGAGTTGTCGTCGTTTTTTAGCATATCTTGTGATTTAGCTCTATTTTTTTGTTGTTTTCGCTTTTGTTTATTAGAAATCTTCAAACCTGCTTCTAGTAGTTCTGTTGTTATTTTTTCGTTTAATTCGTCTAGTTGCAAACCCTTTAGCTGTGATATGTCACTTCTTTTTAGCTGGTTTATGTATTGTTCTTTGCGTTCTTTAAGAAGTTCTGTATCTATCTCTTTTTTAGATGGTTTAAATTTTTATATGTCTGTTGTGGCGTTAATTTTAATTTTAGCTCTAACAATTATGTGATCACTTCCTACGGAAATTATGTTTATGACCGTAACGTCTTGTACTATGTTCTTTTCTTTGGATAGGATGTAATCAATTTCATTTTTTGTTAAACCATTGGGCGCGAGCCACGTCCATTTTCTCTGTGGTTTTTTATTGAAAAAGGTATTCATCACAAAGGATTTGTTTATCGTGATGCAATTCAACTTAAAACCAGTGGATATTATAGAGAAAGAAAAATGAAGACATGATTATAATATTCATACAATATGATTTTATGGATATTATACCGATGTGGATTTACCGATCAATATTGCGGATAAGCTACAATATTTTGGCCATATAATAAGACATCCAGAGAGGTATAACCTTCTACAGCTCAAAATAGAGAACAAGATCGTAGGAAGAAGTAGCCCATGCCGAATAAGAACATCCTGACTCCGAAATCTCCGAGAGTGGTATCAAGAGACATCCACGAGACATTTTGAGTTGCGTAAACAAAGTTATTATTGCCAGTATGATCGCCAAAGTTCGATAATTGGACAGGGTACTAAAAGAAAAAAAAAAAGAAGCTAACGTTTCGTTAAAATCTTCAATATTGGTTTTATTTTGAACGTCTTTTTGAGAGTTACTTTATATTTGTTCTCTTGTGCTAGTAATCTCAGTGAATACGACATTTTTAGTCATCGATACCATATTTATTCTTTCCTTCTTTACGTTCAAGACTATTTTGGCTTTAACCATTCTATTCTCACTTTTGGTTAAAAATTGGTTTAATACAGTTCCTTCTTAAAGAGAGTCTTTTTGTTTTAGTAAATATAAAATCAGTTTCATTATCGTTTAACTCATTCGGTAATTGCCAAGTCTCTTTTATTTGGGGGCTTTCTTAAAATAAGTGCAGAAGAAATTCGATTATAGTTCGAGTCCTTTTGTTTTTATCTGCATATCCATGAGGTCTAACTACTAACTCAGAATCATCCTACTTGCCTATTGTGTCGTTTAGGTCGCCCATCGGTATAGTACAGTTGATGGTTACCTCTTGTATCGTATTGTTAACTTCATTATAGAACCATTTAACTTCTTTGTTTCTGTGGGCACTTTTAGGTGTGTATACCTGAATGATCAAATTTGTTCGTTTGTAAATAAGATGTATAACTCTATTACTAATGCTTTCAATTTTGTAAGTATGTTATTGTGTGTTTTAAGAACAAATAATCCAAAATTACCATTTGTTCTTACACATTACTTTTTCGACGTACTTGTAGTAACCCAAACACATCCCATATTATATGCTTCAGCTCGTTTCCAAGTATCACAAGTTTTTTAATCTTCCATCAATATTCTGGAGTTACTTGTTACTATGCACCATATTCTTTGTCGTTATCGTTTGTGAAGGTACGACCGGTCGACTCCGGAGATTCTTCTCCGGAAGAGCACCCTCTGCCCCTCTATCTCTAAGACTGCTACCATAGCCTGGTTTCAAGGAACTGCCGGAGACTAAGGGCCATGTCTTCTTTATTTCAGATTTTAGGGGAATTCATGGTCGTTTTTCCACCAAGATGACTAGTAGAAGGTTGTTAGGATGGGGCATAAAACTGAAACAGAATACTAGGTTTTTGCTTAACAGTTAATACACCCGTTAAGTCCTAGAGGCTTCTTTTAAATGTTTTTATAAGTCTTAAATGAAAAAATTAAAAGCTGCATATCAGACTTTGTAAATTTTTATTGCAGAGAATTAACAAGGATCCATAGTTTATTGAAAATATTCCGTACTAATAATAAGTATTGAGTATTCATCCTTAAACTAATCAAATTAAAATGACCTGCTTATTTAGAATCAAAGAGTTTCTGAAGGCACACCAACAGAAGCCATGGAGACTTTAATAGGCCTTTCTACTTGATATATCATTCTAAGGAAAACGCAAGAATGAAATTAAAGTCCATGATAAAACCTAAAAACGTAAGGATTTAATTATGATATGTTTACTTACCTTATCGCTTCTACTAATACAACAAGAACATTAAGAACAAATATTTCCCAAAGAAATGTTCCTATTAACACTTTATAATATGCGGGATTCTTGTTCTTAGCCACGTGTTTTATCCACCTTTCCTCCAGCTTTTGTCCTAGCTTGCTAGAATCGTGCTCACTTCTATGTCTGTACATATCATCTTCGGTTAGTTCTCGTTTGTAGCCTTTAACGAAGTAAGGAAGCAGCCAACTGTAATACAAAAAATAATTTTAGAGTAGATGCTTACGGAAAATATATTACAATTTTTGTTTTGCACTAATATGCATTTTTTTTTGTTTAATTTTATTTTCTATTATTATCAACAAATTTATGGAAGATGGTATGATTTTCGTTTAGCTAGGTTTGATCTATCTTCCTTCTAGTCAAAATCTTCTTATCATTCTCAAATGTTGCTTTCGTCAACAAGCAGTCTCATCTGTATTGTTCTATATCGGTTTTCGTCTATGATTTTTATAGCAAAAACTGGGAAAATTAAAGTGAAGTCGTTTTACCCTGTCGTATTTCGGATTAACGCCCAAAAAATAATTTATGACTCTAGTTACAGCTACTCTTTTATGCTTTCTTTTTTCTACCTGCTTTGTGGTACCGAACCTCTTACTGGTCGCCTGTAGTACTTGAGGATAAACCAGCGCTACCAAACAATTTTTTTATAAATCGTGAAAAAAACGCAAATTGAATGCTTTGTGATGATAATTTATTAAAAAAACTTTGATAATTTTATTTCAAATAAAATTGTCTCGAGAAATGCATCCATTCCTTGCGGTCGCATAACTGGATAATTTTAGTTGTTATATTTGCAAAAATAGTAAACAGTCGGCGGAGTCGAGGCTCTCCATTGACCGGACTCATCGGCCAATGACCGACGCACCCTGCCACCGAAGCCCCGCCCCCTCGTGTATATATTCAGAGAGCTCCGAAAAATCTTGCTAGTATTCAACGATCGCCGGTTTTTAAAAGTGACAATGGATAACGTACAAGAAAACGATAAAACACCTAAATATAAGTTTTTATCTCTGAGTGAGCGTCGAATTATGTTGAAAGTGGAAAATTATTCTACTTTAGAAAAAATCAACATGGGACCAATTATTATATCAGTACTGGCAGTTCAAAAAAGGACAAGTGCAGCTTGTGGAATTTCAGAACGGAGCTTGCAAAGAGTTCGCAAAATGAGTGACGAGGGATTAAGTAAGGAAGATAAAAGGATTCGTTTGCATCTGAAAACCCTCGACTTGCCACAAGGTATTAAAATCTCAATCAGAAATATCATTTCTGATATGTACAAAGCAAAAGAACATGTTACAAGAAAGATACTTATTGAAAAAATAAAGGACAGAGAACTTTGTGATATGGGTTTGACCAGTTTATCAAAAGTATTAAAAGCTATGGGTTTTAGATACCTACAAAAAACCAATAATCGTAAAGTGTTGTGCGAACTGTCCAATGTTGTTGGAAAAAGGTGGAAATTTATAAGAAACTATTAAAAAAAAAACAAGAATTCCGAATTTGCCAGACAATTTGTGTTTCTTGACGAAACATGGATTTTTGCGAAAGAAAATAATACCAAATCATTCTGGCAAGATGATTCTACCAAATGCTATTCGAGTACTAGTGCGAGTAATGGCAAAAGATATATTATATTGCATGCCAGGAAATACGGAATTTTTTATACCCAATGCTAGTCTTATATTTCCTTCAAAAAAAAAACTGATGATTACCACGGAAATATGGAGGCCGATATTTTTTAACATTAGTTTGAAAAAAAATTATTAAAAAATCTGGAAAATACGCCATTAATAGTCTTAGACAATGCTTCGTATCATATTAGAGAGGAGCAAAAGTTTCTCAGAAGCAGCTGGAAAAAAAACTTAAGAAAGTGGCTATCGGAGAAAAATATAGAACACGAACATCTAGTTTTAAAAGCTGAATTATTAAATAAGTGCAAAGAACACATTACTGAGAAAAAATTTGTTGTTGACCAAATGGCACTAAAATATGGTCATGAGGTCCTAAGACTACCACCATATCACTGCCAGTACAATCCAATTGAATTAGTGTGGAGCATCACTAAAAACTACTATGATAAACATGCATGTAAGACCACCGACGAAGCCAGCGTTTTACAACTCTGGCAAGATGCACTAAAACAGGTCAATGAGAAACAATGGCGGAAATAAATTGAGCATACTAAAAAAATTTAGAGTCATATAAAATAGATATATAATATGAAATAGACTGAAGTTATTGATGAAGTAAGACCTTTAATTATTCGTACAGATGAGGATTTCGATGAATCGGATAGCGAATCAGATAGTGATGATACCTGTCCATAGAAAAATTAACACAAAAGGGTACTAACCACAAAAAAAAACAAAACAAAAATAAAACAAAAACCGCATACTGGAAAGAGCCGGAGGCACGCCGCAATGCAAGCACCAAAAAAATTAGTTTAGCAAGTAAGGTAGATTAAGGACATGATTGAACGAATGACTGAGTATTAGACGATGGATGAAAGGATTCGATGCTTGCTCGCTTTCGAAAAGGGAAAGCAAGTATCGGTACACACAACCATCATTAGATCGCCGATCAATTGTTTTCACCGGTAGTGATAAAGAAAAATGAGCTAACCTACCACTTAAATGTAAATAAAGGGAAACCTCCCATTGCCTGACCAGGGATACCGCGAAATAGTCGAGACTGGGCTCCAAAGACCAGGGGGCCGAGTAAAAATTGACAACCGAAACGAAGAAGAATTAACAGACCAAAAAGAAGAATAATTGACAGTTGACATGACAGATCGACAAGAAGACAAGGCGGCTATCTTAGCGAGCGCGTCTTTATGGCGTCGGTGGTCATGGCTTCGTTCCCATTGGAGGGACAGGGTCACGTTCAGAGTAGTTCAAATATCCTATCTGTCTCAAGTAATCCATACTCTACTGACACAATACTTTTTCTCAGAGAGAATATGCGACGTTTTTAGCAGCAACAAATTGAAGCGATGATGTCATATTAACGCATGGACTGAACTGCTAACTGATAACATAGACAATATTAAATTCATCACAAGTCTCCCTTGCTGGGTCGTAGTAACTAATAACTGTTTATTAAAAAAACCTTGTTGGTTTGAACTATCCGTACGGCAATAGTTTATGGCCTTGATGGTAAATCTTAACCTCTATTTGAAGATTTTTATTTGTAGTGACCTACCAGTTGCAGAGAGACTTTAAATTGATTATTATTTTGTTATTGAGTGTTAACATAAAATAAACTTAGTGTTCGGTTAATTTTGGGGGGTAGTGTACTTAAAGATACTTGTTACAGACCACCAAAGTGACGAAATAGTGTAGATACAAGTTAGACTTGAACTATCTCATAAAATCCTTATCAGTTTTTTCCTGAAACTGTGAGCTTTTTATGCATCTCTGTATTACATAGTTGCATTCATAATGTGTTCTTTGTCTAGGGGTTTAAATGCATGATTTGGTAGAAAATGGATTGGGGCATTAGAAATATAATTTTATATGGAAATGTTCTATATATTCTAAATAGAACATAAAGCAAATAAACATATTTTCTAATAAAAAAATTAGCAATTTGTTTTAATATTCAAGGAAAGGAACTTGGTCATAATAAAACCTACGAACACTTTGAGACTCAACGCTTGATAATAGAAATAACATTTAAAGGAAATAAATTAGTTGATTTAAGGAAAAATTCATGACTTAAATACTAAGGCATTTTTATATTTAAAAATACTATATTTTTACAAACAATTTTTAATACTTAATATTTTTTACTTGATGTTTACTTACCAAAATAATAAATTGGAAAAAAAATTTGATCTATCTCTTGGATTAAGTTTTTGCTCTGCAGTCTGACCTTTCACTTCCTCCATTTTAAAATTTTAGCTGCAACTAAAAGTATGTATTAAACAAATGTGTTCTCTTGTGTAATTATTAAATTATTTAGAATTTAAGTATACGTAAAAATAATCTTAACAATATACATCTTATCTAGATCACGATAAGAGCAATGTTAGCAAAATATATTAAACATAAGAAAACGAAATACACTGCAATTACAAATGTAAATCAAGGGTAAATGTCTTAAAGAATTCAGAAAATATAAAAGAACTTCATATACTTTAACTGAATAACAAAACTTTTATTCTGGAATCATCGTGTTATCTTGTAATTATCTATTATTTCTATGCTGTGTCTATCTAGGCCATCATAAGATATCCCAAACATAGCATGACTTTCTTATAAATTCATTTCTTATTCGCTTCCTTGTTCCCTAGAGTATAACCAGCAATAAATCTTAGCGTTCCTATTTCAATTGGCCTTAGGAGCTTCTTTTTTGTGATTTCATAGGTAATTTAGGCCAAATCTAATTATTTTCGTTTCTAAAAATCGTGGTATAATTTATAACTAATATTTTTGTAACCCCTGTATATTTACTTTTTTAATTAGTGCTATGTATTTATGTCTTATTCTGAAATACATAAACTTTGGTTTGGTTTGATAACATTGTGTAATGATATTATCAAATGAATAGAAATTAAAGGCTACAAATTTAGAAAAAACAAGAACTGTTCTTAAATATTAGGTTTAAGAATTTATATTTAATACCTTAAAACATAAAATTTTAGACAAGGAGAGAGAGAGGGGCGGAGAGAGAAAGGGGCGGAGAGAGAAAGGGGGAGAGAGAGAGGGAGAGAGAGAGAGGGCGAGAGAGAGAGGGAGAGAGAGAGGGAGAGAGAGAGAGGGAGAGAGAGAGAGAGGAGAGAGAGAGAGGGAGAGAGAGAGAGGGAGAGAGAGAGAGGGAGAGAGAGAGAGAGAGAGAGAGAGAGAGAGAGAGAGAGAGAGAGAGAGAGAGAGAGAGAGAGAGAGAGAGAGAGAGAGAGAGAGAGAGAGAGAGAGAGAGAGAGAGAGAGAGAGAGAGAGAGAGAGAGAGAGAGAGAGAGAGAGAGAGAGAGAGAGAGAGAGAGAGAGAGAGAGAGAGAGAGAGAGAGAGAGAGAGAGAGAGAGAGAGAGAGAGAGAGAGAGAGAGAGAGAGAGAGAGAGAGAGAGAGAGAGAGAGAGAGAGAGAGAGAGAGAGAGAGAGAGAGAGAGAGAGAGAGAGAGAGAGAGAGAGAGAGAGAGAGAGAGAGAGAGAGAGAGAGAGAGAGAGAGAGAGAGAGAGAGAGAGAGAGAGAGAGAGAGAGAGAGAGAGGACATGCAACGTTCATTTAATAAACCTTTGCAAAGTGAAGCCAGTTTCAATGTAATCGTTATGTTTTGGTGCCTATAAGTTGCCTATTACTACCTGTCGCAAGGTTACTAGGTCTACTGATTTTTCAGTAGATCTACTGATTTCAACTTCAATTCAACTAATTTACTGAAACGCTATATTTATCAACTATTAAATAATGTAATGGTAAAATCATATTCAAAAAGAGATCATTATATCAGTGTTACAATATAAATTTTGAAAAAATCTATTTATTGATATATATATATATATATACATATATATGTTCGGAAAGATTTCCGCGGTTAGTACAATAAAACCTAGAGCTAAGATTAATATTATTACTAAAATTAATATCAAACTCACCAGTCTTCCGGGTTAAACCGCGTCGTTGTCCATTTTGCCAAGCTTTCGGCATCCTCTCTGATGCCTTCCTCAGGGCTTCCGAGGTCTCAGTCTCCCGAGCCCCCAGACACTACTACACTGTTCACTATTCACGGCACTGTCACTGTCACTACAGTAGTGACAGTGACAGTGCCGTGAATAGTGAACAGTGTAGTAGTGTCTGGGGGCTCGGGAGACTGAGACCTCGGAAGCCCTGAGGAAGGCATCAGAGAGGATGCCGAAAGCTTGGCAAAATGGACAACGACGCGGTTTAACCCGGAAGACTGGTGAGTTTGATATTAATTTTAGTAATAATATTAATCTTAGCTCTAGGTTTTATTATACATATATATATATATATATATATATATATATATATATATATATATATATATATCCATTATTCTCAATCTACTAAAGAAATAAACTATGACCTGGCAACTTTTCTGGTGTCGGTTTAGGCTTCAGTCAATTCCATACCCTCCCTCTTTCTTTTTCTAAGCATAAAACCATTTAAAACTAGGTTTTAATAATATTGACAGCAAAATTTTGATTTTGTTTATAAATTTGACATGAAATTGTACGCAATTTTGACAGTCTCCCAAAAGTCAGTGGATTGTGTCTATATTTGACTTACGTTTACAATTTTTAAAATTAATTGTCAAAAGTTCTAGTACTTACATACTTATTAGGAAATACAAAACTGATAATAATAATTGTATCAGTGATAATTGTATAAACTTTTTTTACTGAAAATAAAAGTTTTATTTTCAATATGATAAACGTAGAAAAGATATCTACATAGATATCTACATATTTAGGTAAGTTGGTACCTAAGTAGAGAAAAGCGATCTTTTTATGTAACCAAACTACAATATTTTCCGATTTCCGGTATGGAATAAATACCTTTAATATTTATTGGAGTTGAAACATTTATTTTTATACAATGTCTTCTGCCAATAATTCAGTACAGTTGTACTGAGTTATTGAAAGTGCACATTCGTACAGTCATTGTACGTGTACACTTATTTTTTTCACTTTTCCCGAAAATTTTTCACCCTTCTAGCGAACTATAACGTGGTCGATCACATTAATTTTAGATTTTGGAGCCGTTTCTTTCTTTTTGACACCGACTGAATAATCGACAGTACGTTTTTCATTTTAAAAATATTCTTTTTCACCAATTTGACTGCGGTAGGTTTACAAAGTTTCTTTACTGATCTTTTCTTCTTTTCTTCCTGAAGTTAAAATTGTTTCGTTTTTCGTTTTTCTTTTTCAAATATTATTTTTTCCCTGTTCTCAGGAACATATACTTGGAACTTTTTGAAACTTCCTGATTTTTTGTTTGTACTTTCATCTGGCCAAAACAAAATAGATTTAGAAGGGGAGGTTATCAAAAGAGCATCGGTATTATTCGTTAAAATCATGTTCTTATTTTCTTTGTTTTATCCTTCACCCCTTTACCGTTATTTTCGACGATTTCGGCGATACAGCAAAATAAAGACACAACAGATCACAGAATCAACAGAATCAACAGCTGAACCAGCAAATTAACAAAGCAAATACTTTCATTTTATTAGCGTCAATAAAAAACTAAAAATTCCATCAAAGGAAGAACTGGAATAATGCAAAAAGGAATGATAACACAGTCCCACAAATTGAAAAATTTTGCTGCTTGGGAAATAATGAATTTTAAATATTTTTTATGCTCTAATTTTAAAAGTGATTTCTTTTTCATACTAGTTTTTTTTAATCGATAGTATCATTTTAACTGATCATTACTGGATCGAAAATAGGGTAAAGGTCAGAATTTGAAACGTTTAAAAAAGGAAATAGATTTTAAACATGAACGATATAAAGTAGAAAACCTTGAGTACAAACAAAAATGAAAAACATAATCCAAATATAAACATCAAACTGGAAAACAGACTAAAATATAAGGTAAATGAAGAGTGGGAAGGGTGCAGAAACACTATGAAAGAAGCAGCTGAAGAATTACTGGGCATAAAAGGTAAAAAAAACAAAAACGAATGACTGAATTTAATAATGAAACAGCGGTACAGAACCGGAAAAGCAGAGTAGGAATATAAATAACTACGTAAGGAACAAAAAAAAACCAATGCAGAAAGAAGACAGAAATTTGAACAGAGAACTTTAAAAACTTTTAAAATCTAAGTAAGCTAACAGAGACGAGAGAATTTTACCAGAAACTGAACAAAAGCAAAAAGGAACTCAAACAAAAGAAATAAAGATATAAAGAAGGTAGTATATTGATAGAACAGTAACAAAAACTAAGATGATGGAATTCCCGAATAAGACCGAAAATGTTGTAGATTATAGTGATATATTAGTTTGTTTATAATGCTCCATTTAACGTTTTTTATAAAAATATTGCTTTTAATTACGTGTTCCTAATATGCCATACGCTAAATAAAAAATAAATTCTCCGCTAGTGATACGCTTCTTGGTAAAACTCATAAAGGCAGCTAATTATACGATAACTTACGATATCACGCGTATGACTCTAATTTTCATTACGAATCAGATCTCACTCATAAATATTGGATTAAAAAGCCATCTCCACCTTTGTGCACTGCTTTGCAGAACAATTCAATTTTTTCAAAGAATTTGGCCAAAGTGGAAAAAATTTAGACTTCTTTGCTCTCTTCCATAAAGCTGAAGTTATAATACCCACATATAGTGACAACAACAAATTGAGCAACAATATTCTGAGATCTGTTTTAAACTGTTATAGTGATGCCACAGTTATATACACGGACGCATCCAAATCAATAGAAGGGACTGGCTGTGCCTATTTTCTACCCTCAGGAGGGTCTGAATTTTTCAATGAGTTTTCAATTTTCTCTGCGGAATCATTGGCCATACTCGAAGCTTTGAAATATGTTAAAAACTCTTATATTAAAAATCGTTAATTCTTTCAGACTGCCTTTTAGTTCTACAGAACATAAAAAACAAAAGAACATATATTTTTCTAATAAAAGATCAATTAAAGCACTTAGCAGACTCTGGCTTCAATATAAAATTTATTTGGGTTAAGGCACATATTGGACTCAAAGATAATGAATATGTAGATTACTTAGCTAAAATAAGTTTAATATCAGGCAATTTATTGTCATATTCTTTATGTGTATCAGATGCTATTAGAATTTAAAAAAAACCAGCTATCGACATGGAAAGATCAATGGAATCTTTACTGCTTTAGAAACCAAACAAGATACACCACTTTACAACCAGTTATTCCACAAAGTACTTGGTTTAAGAATTTTAAATCCCCACG